ACGCAGTGACATTGATAGACTTTATCTACCAAGGCAAATAGGTGGGCGTGGAATGCTACAAGTACATCAGATGGTTGAAGAAGAAAAAATGGCTTTGGAAGAATATCTGAAGAACAATGATGAAGATGCACTGAAATTAGTATATCAGGAAGGCTTACTAACTACTGGAGAGACCAAACTGGCCTACAAGAAAGACCAATGAAGAACAGAATAGAGGCATGGGAAGACAAAGCACTACATGGCCAATACATGAAAAAAATAGCTGGGAAAGCAGATAATAATAAAACCTGGCAATGGCTAAGAGCAGGAAAATTGAAGAAAGAGACCGAGGGACTAATTCTGGCTGCACAAGACCAAGCCTTAAGGACAAATGCATACAAAGTCAAAATTGAGAAGACAGCAACAGACAGTAAGTGCCGCCTATGCAAAGAAGCTGAAGAAACAGTGGACCACTGGTAAGCTGTTGCAAGAAGATTGCACAGACTGATTACAAGCAGCGGCATGACAAAGTAGCAACAATGGTGCATTGGAAGATCTGCAAAAAATATCATTTGCCTGTAAGCAAAAACTGGTGGGATCATAAAATAGAGAAAGTCATAGAAAATGATAAAATTAAACTGCTCTGGGACTTCAGAATTCAAACAGACAAGCACCTGCAACATAACACCCCAGACTTAACAATTGTCGATAAGAAAGACAAAAAAGTCTGGATAGTGGATGTGGCAGTGCCTGGAGATAGCAGAATAGAAGAGAAAGAACTGGAGAAGATAACAAAATACAAAGACCTACAAATAGAAATAGAAAGACTGTGGCAAAAGCAAGCAAGTAGTACCAATAGTCATAGGCTCCTTGGGTGCAATCCCAAAACAACTGGAGCACACTTGAACACCATTGGCATTGACAAATTCGCTATTAGTCAATTGCAAAAGGCGGCCTTATTAGGACCTGCTTCCATCCTGCGACGATATCTGTAATACCATCAAACATCCACATCTGCCTATCCCAGGTCCTGGGTAAGGACTCGATAGGTAGACAAAATGCCAAATCCAGTCTGAACATCTGGCTGACTGTGCGATGATCCATAATAATAATAATAATAATAATAATAATAATAATAATAATAATAAGTTGGAAGGGACCTGGAAGTCATCTAGTCCAACCCTCTGCTCAGGCAGGAAACCCTATACCATTTCAGATGGTATTAGAGGTGCTTCATCTATTGATATCCTTCATGTTTATTTATTTACATTGCTTTTATGTCACTTGTTGCCACCGACTTTCTGTAGCTAATAATATAAACATATAAAGAACTCCAAGAAGTCCCATATACAGTACATATAAACATAAAAATAAAAATACTATTATAAATTATGAATAGTTTCAATTGCTCAAAAAGAATAGGTAATTTCTATATATGTTAAGCATTTGGCACATCTTGCTGAATTTTTCTGCAATATATATCCTATTATAGCTATTTCTGTATTTTGTCACAATGTTATTTGCAACACATTCTTTAAAACGGTTCATGAGATCAGTGAAAGATTAATCTGTAAAAGCATTGTTCATAGAAAGTTAATGAAGGCTTTCTACCCACTCTTCCTCAAAATCTTTATGCTTATTTTTGAGTAGCATCATAGAGGCAGACTGACACAGGGGGGATTCAGTAGGATTATTAATATACTCCAGGACTCTATTACAAAATGTTTTTCATATTTTAAAATATGCACATGTGAGTGAAGCACCAGTCTTAATTCTCATGAGTATTTAATTGGTGACAAAACTATGGAAAACAACTATGAATGTTGCTGATATCAAATTCTCTATAAAATGTGTAAGCGGGACTGAGCAGTTAGAGTAAGTAAGAGAGGCTACAAGAATCTTCCAGTTGTATTCAGTTGGAAGAAGAAACAAAATAGTGACCAGAGAAAGCTCAATATCCTGAATTTGGCTGGCTGAAAGAGGTACATCTTGAGAGGTATTGATATCCTAGCATTGGCAGGCCAACTTTCCCAAAACAAGATTTTCTTTAACAAGTTTCATTGAAAGAGGAAGAGGTAGATTAAAGGAATTTCAATAAATGGGTTAATGTAAATCTGAAATCACCTTGATCATTAGGGCAGACACTTTTTTCAAGTTCTTTCTTATACTCCTTTTCTGAATTTGTTGTTAACATTTTTCTAGTGACCTCCTGAATCCTTATCAGGCTGTGAACCGTTATCATTGTACATGATGGAGTGATCGAATAAGCAGGATATTTAAGAAGAATAGATGGGGTATATAGGCTCCAGGGAGCATATAATTAAGCAACTTAAAAAGAGGACAGAAAAATTAGAAATGAATTTGTTAGGGAAATTTGGCATTGGAGTTTAAGGAAAACAGGTTTCTCTCCTAAATCAAGATTTGGTACTCAGTTAATCTGAAAGACTGAGAGGAAACAGGAAATATTTTAGTGATTGGGTCTTATAAAAGAAAAGAGAAAATAAACCAATAAGAAACTGAAGTTGTGACCTTTAGCTGTGAGCTGAAGTTCATATCTTTGATGAAAAGGTCAAATCACTGGACCATCAAGTGGCCTCATTTCAGCTGATGACAGAATTTTTAAAAAATTAAAATAAAGGAAGGTTCTCAACAGAAAACAGAAATCCTTCCAATCTTTGGAAGAGTTGTCTTGGATTCACTATTAGATTACTTTCTTATTTGGATATGCTATAAAATTGCCACTATATGCTCTTTGTAAATAGTTTAAAAATAGGAGCATTATACAACTAGGTTAAGCAAGATTAAGAAAACTGGTTGTGTTGGGCTACACTATAGCCATTCAAACACTTTCACAAAAGACTCAGTTGGATTTTTTTTTTACAGAGTCAGTATAGCTTTACAGGAGCTTTGTAGAAACCACATTGGAACAGGATACATATAATGGTACAGCTATTTTCCTTCTATAAATAGCTGGAAAATTTTGAAAGCTGTGTCTTTTATTTCACAACTGAAATTTTCTATGCTTTTCTTAATACAGAGTCTAGATGCAGACTTTACAGACTTAGCAATGATAGGAACTGCACTTCCAATAACGTTAACACTGGTATTATACGATAAGCATTTTGAATCTCCAAATCAAGATCCAAAGAAAGCAAAGGAGAATCCCATGAGCATTGCTCCATTTCCTTCCATAATGTCAAACAATTAAGATATTCTCTCTCAGCGTGATATTCAATAAATTACTCAATAATTTACTGTTTGCTTGAGGGAATTTTTCAGAGCAGCATATTAATCTCTTAGTGGTGGCTTTAAGATCTGTCAAAATACTTAGATGGAAAGATTAGCAACACAGGTCAACATCCGTGCTCATCTGTATTCAGAAACTCCAAGTGCTATTAATTTGGAGTCAAATCAACCAACAAAAAGAGGTTTATGTAAGCATTTTTGAGTTTTTTTTCTCATCCAAATGTTGCATGTATGTAAAATATATTCAGGAGGATGTCTAGTTTTGTTGATATCTCACTTGTTTGTTTAATTTACATTTGAGGTTTTTTTTAAGTTTTTTTTATTTATACGAAAAATTACGATTTTCCTTGCAGAAACTTACCATTTTTCAAATACTCTCATTTATATTAGAACAATTCATCCAGGAATTTAATCTATTTTTTAAAAATGAGAGCGGTGGATGACTGCTGCCGTCATGGGCTGGGAAAGATATCAATAAGTCGGTGCAGTTTTGTCATCAGATCTCATGAATGTCTTGTGGATGGCTTCAGTAACCTGGGCACCCATTTTATAAGAATGCTAAAGATATACTGTCAACTATCCAAAATGCTGAATACCTTTATTCTTGATTAGCATCTTATAAAAAAATCAGAACTAAAGAGTAATTGCTTTATTGTTATAATACAGACCAAAGATAGGAGAATACTTTCAATTACTTAACATACAGTTAAGTTAGGAATGTTTTTGATAGCATACAAAGCCTTCAAGATGTTCCAAAGGACATATGCTCACGCAATATTCAGTGTTTTGTTTTTGACACATATCAACAGGTGATTTTTTTTTCATGCTTCAGTGTAAATAAGTGGTTGAAAGATATGCTTTGCATTCAGTACTGATTGTCCATTGTCCATTTATTACGCTAAATCAGACATGTCAAACACAAGGCCCGGGGGCCGGATGCGGCCCACGAAGTGGTTTCATGTGGCCCGCGAAGCCATCCTGGAAACAGTGAGGGAACGGCCTCCGCTGCCTTGGCCCTGGCCCAGGCCAGCCGGGAGCCAATGTACAATTTTGTGGTGGCCATCTTGGCACTTGCCCTGGTGGACCATGCCTTGGCACTTGCCCCGGTCCCACCCCCTTCTGCCAGAGACTCTCAGATCTGTCCCACTCCTACCCAGGCCCCCATAGGCACCCTTGATGCGAATGATGTAGAAATGGTCACGCCCACTCAGGCCACACCCACTTCTGGCCACACACCCCCGGCAACCGCAATGCTGATGTGGCCCTCAGTGAAATTGAGTTTGACACCCCTGCGCTAAATCAATAAAAATTATGGAATAGCTTGTTACCTATGCTGTTCAAGAGTACATTATATATGTGGGTATGTGCACAATTTATTTTTGTCATATTTACATAGTGTGTATCGGAGGTGGTGACCCTTTGAGAGCTGTATGCAATAAAATTTCATTTTAATGTATGCCAATTAGTGTACATTCAAAGTGACAATAAAGTTATTGTTCTATTCTATTCTATTCGTGGTTCAGTGGGAAAAAAGAAAAGGATCAAAACGTGTCCTAATGAAGATTAAAACATCCCATCCATGGTTTTCCAAAATGGTAAAGGGGCACACTCTGTTTGAAAAGCAAACTTAGATTATTTCACCTATTAGAATTGTAATTGTCCATGCCGGGATATGTGCTAGAAGAGACACAGTTTCTATCTTTCCAACTTTAATTTAGGAGGAACTTGAAAGTTTTGGCCTGGTTAATTGGTTAATCATTATTCTTTCTTCTTAGATTTGGAAATCACTGTACCAACTGGACATTCTCAGAGTATGCCAAAGAAACCAGAGTATAGGATTTATGAATATAGTCCGAGAAAAAATCTTTTCCCAATAAGCAAAGAGATAAAGCGAGGGGACTGGAAAACAGAAAGCACATCAAGTACTGCAAGTAAGCAAACAGATAGCCAGAAAGCTATCTAGCAAGGAATAAAGAAGTGTACTTCGGATCTCAATAGTTTGAATTGCTGGAATTAAGGAATTCCTAACCTATAAATTGATTCTTCACATTAAATGTATTGTCAAATCTCTTTTCTTCCTGTCTGGTTCTCTTGATCACCCACCAACTCTAGCTGTCTATTTAGTCCATTATTTATATCTATGCATTATGTTTGTACTTACATTTACTTGATTATTACTTTTATTACTTGATTGCTATCAATTACATAGAATCAGTTACTGCAATTAGTCTTTTTAGTTCTTTAGCCTTTTAAGTCACAATCATTCTTTTTATAGTATCCTACTGTATATTTTGCAGTTATACTTCGTAGAGTCACAATATTAAACATTTTCATCATGTTCATCCTTGTGTTTAGAATCTTAAACATGTTATCAGTTTCATGATTTCATAATTTTTACTAACAATTAAAATTGTAGTCAATAGAGCAAATGGGTTGGATTAATGTGTGTGACAGTCGCAATTCTATTTTTCACAGCTGTGTTTTTCTGTTCATTTATTGAAATAAAGAGACTTGGCTTGATTGCAATTCTCTACAAATTATGATCATTCTCTCATTTTCTTGAAGACAAAAATCATTTATAATTTTAAGAGTTGTGAAAATAAGCATAAAAATATATAATGAGAATCTCTGAATTCCTACCACTATCATTCCCATTGAACATGATAAATAAACTATGGGAAATGATTAATATGTGCACATACTTATGAGTAATATAAACTGACTTTTTTGGTGACATTGTACAGAATTATATAAATGTTTAAATCAGAGATATGCCTTTTGTTTTGGAGTAATTTCCTTTTTTCCTCATAATAAAATGTACATTTTTTAAATATTCACATAGTAATGCAAAAGCAAAGTTTTGATTTTTTTTTATCCTGACAGAAACATAGCAACATCATATTAAGAGAGAAATAGAATTTTTTTTCCATTGTACTATTATTTTATCATATTTGTGATTACTATATTTTGTGGAGATTTTGAGAGTTGTTGGAATAATCTATAATACATAATATATTGTATAAAGGATAATATATAAATTATGTAATTTTAAAATAACTTATTTGAAATTACTGTTTTTTTAATTTGCTGCTTGTTGGAAGGCGAGCAAGAATGGTGTTAATAGTTCAAGAATGATTAACGCTTTTAGGAAAATATTTGACTAATTTAAAATATTTGATAACCCAAAATAATTTCTCACTTTTTAATCAGAGTTGGAAAAAAATGGGTGGAAATTTAAATTAGTGGAGCTTGTTTATAAAATGCTTATTTTTCTCATCTAACCAGGCAGTTCAAGTAACCGATCAAGTACCCGAAGTCTATTGAGTGTCAGCAGTGGAATGGAGGGTGACAATGAGGTAAACTTTCTTTATGTAAATTTTCTTTCTTTCTTTCTTTCTTTCTTTCTTTCTTTCTTTCTTTCTTTCTTTCTTTCTTTCTTTCTCTCTCTCTCTCTCTCTCTCTCTCTCTCTCTCTCTCACACACACACACACACACACACACACACACACACACTTTTCTGAATGAATTTCCTACTAAGGCTACAAACAGTATTCTATATTTATGTTGTTGTTGTTGTTAATTGCGAAGTTGTGTCCGACCCATCGCTACCTCATGGACAACGTTCTTCCAGGCCTTCCTGTCCTCTACCATCTTCTGGAGTCCATTTAAGCTCACGCCTACTGCTTCAGTGACTCCATCCAGCCATCTCATTCTCTGTCGTCCCCTTCTTCTCTTGCCCTCAATCTTTCCCAGCATTAGACCCTTCTCCAGTGAGTCCTTCCTTCTCATTAGGTGGCCAAAGTATTTGAGTTTCAACTTCAGGATCTGGCCTTCTAAAGAGCAGTCAGGGTTGATCTCCTCTAGGACTGACCGGTTTGATCACCTTGCAGTCCAAGGGACTCGCAGGACTCTTCTCCAGCACCATAGTTCAAAGGCCTCCATTCTTTGGCGCTCAGCCTTTCTTATGGTCCAACTTTCACAGCCATACATTGCAACCGGGAAAACCATGGCCTGGACTATACACACTTTTGTTGGCAGGGTGATGTCTCTGCTTTTTAGTATGCTGTCTAGATTTGCCATAGCTTTCCTCCCCAGGAGCAAGCGTTTTTTAATTTCTTGGCTGCAATCCCCATCTGAGGTGATCTTGGAGCCCAGAAAAATAAAATCTGTCACTAATGTTGTAGAATGCATAAATAGTATGTTGTAGAATTATGTTATGTTGTAGAATGCATAAATAGTAGATTTTGTCCCATGGACTTAAAATTCAATGCAGAGATAACTTGAAAATAGTTGTGAAAAGAATAAGGCTATTTATTTATTTTAAAGGTATTTCCACATACGATATAAAGACAAATTTATGCATGTCATAATGCCCTTCATCAGTTCTTTTTAACGCAACCATAGAATCCCTATAATCAACACATCAAACAATTTTAACAGAGAAGGTTTAGATGAAATGCAAAGGACTGTTTTTGCTAATATGATCTATTTATACAGAATTCTGACAGTTGGAGTTATTTACTGAAGTGATTGTAGATCTTTTGTTAAATAAGCTAATAGTAGTAATAGAGATTTTCTAACCAAATTTACAGTGAAGTACCATAATATCTACCTTAATATTGGTAATGCAAAGCAACTTCAGAAGAAATAAAGGGGCTGGGGATAATTTCTACATATTTAAAGCATTTTTAAAAACAACTCACCCCTCTCCCCCAGAATTAGAATTCCTAGTAGGAACATTTAAACCATAGAAATGATTTCTCATTACTTAGTGTAAAGTTGAAAATATTCATTTTATTAAAATGTTTATTTTCAGTGTTTCCAATAGATACAGTATATTCCTATTCATTTTTGTACATTCTAATAAAAATACAGATAGTATTTCTCTCCCTCTCCTCTCTCTTTTTCCTCCCTGCCTGCTAGGCCAGGGATAGGCAACCTTGACTCTTTTATGACTCGTGGACTTCAACTCCCAAATTTCCTGAGCCAGCCATGCTGAGGGAAAGGGAGAGGTTTCCAAGCTGAGCCATGCTGGCTCAGGAATTCTGGGAGTTGAAGTCCACGAGTCATAAAAGAGCCAAGGTTGACTACCCCTGTGCTAGGCTCTCCTTCGCCTTCTCTTTCCCTGTTGTCTTTTTTTTTCCTCTCCCGCCAAAACCACCTCCTTGTATATCAGGTTTCAAACTCAATTTCATTGAGGGCCGTATCAGGGTTGTGGTTGACCTCGGGGGGGGGCAGGTGGGCATGGCAAGGATGGGCGAGGCTGGGGTGGGCATGGCCAGCTTGACGTTGCTCTTGTTGGGCAGTGCTTGTAGTGGCCAGGGCAGGGATGGGAGGAATCCATTGTCTCCATTGGGGAAGGCAAGACCAGGGCGAGTGCCAAACTCTTGCCCACGAGAGGAGCCTTGCCATCCCTCTCAGGCCACTCAGAGGACCCCTCAATGGCGGCACAAGCTACCTGGAGCTCTGGACAGTGGAGGGCAAATGCCCAGCCCGGCCCTTGAGCTCCCAGGGCACTGGGATCCCACAGCCCAGCCTAGCCCCGCTTCTGCGAGGGGATGCCCAGCTGCGTTTACCTCCTCCTCAAGGCTGCTGCTGCTGTGCTCGATCTCCTTGGCCAGGTTGCTCATAGAGGGCAAAATGTGTGGGTCAGAGAGAGACCCACTCCCTCTCCATGCAAGGAGACCCGACTTTGTAACCAAAACATCCTCAGTGATAGGGTGGGAGACCACCAGGAGAGGTCAGGAGAAGGGGGCAAGGGGATGGCGAAAGGGCAGCAGAGCTGCTGGTGGCCAAGTGCTAAGGCACTTCTGCTGATCCTGGGGCTTCTACTGAGCCCCAACAGCCCTGCAGAAGTGCCGATCAGCTTGTAGCCGCACACACCAATCCTGGGGCTATTTCTGAGCCCTGACAGCCCTGCAGCTGCAGCTATCTCTCCCTCAGGCTTGTGCGATGCTGCCGTCATTTCAACTCACTCCGCTCCCCTACTACCACTTGTCGCGTACCACCAGCCAGGTGCCAAAGTACCACAGGTGGTACACGTACCACTAGTTGAAAAGCCGTGGTCTAGACCAGGGGTTCTTAACCTTGGCAACTTTAAGACTTGTGGACGTCAACTCCCAGACGGGAATTGAAGTCCACAAGTCTTAAAGTTGCCAAGGTTGAGAACCCCTGGTCTAGACCGTCTCTGAGAATCCGACACAACTGAGTGGAAGAAAAAAAGTGTTTGTAATTAGTTATTTTGCAGCCAAAATAGGAAAACTTTTTTAATTATTTTATTCTAAGACATTTCGCTGAATGCTAATCTCTCCAATACCTGAGTCCCCTATAGTGCCTGGGGAAAGAACAATAATATGTCTAGCACGTTTTCTGCTCTAGTTTATAAATAAAAAGTGAATGAGATTGTGTCTTTAAAAATACAAACTTTAGCTAACCACAAGGAAAGAAAAATAATGTTGGTAAGCATTTGGGGTATATAAAATCTTCTGTGGAATAAGAAAGAAAACATTACATTGTTTTTGAAAAGTAGATGTAAAACTGAATGAACATCCCTGTCATTCTTATGTAGGATAATGAGATACCTGAGATGAAGAGAAATTTCTGCTCTAGAACTCTGCAGGTAGACAACCAACTTTCCATTTCATTTGGAAGGCCTCCGAAAATACCTCCTCGAGTGGCTAGCAGGTTATATATTGTTTTATAATACATTTATACTGTACAAAGAATGAATTTGACAGATCCCTGTTCCTCATGGATTAATTCTAAAATAATATAAAGGGGTATAAAGAAAGTAAAATGGGCGGGAAACATGGTAGCACAGGGGTTCAGGGAAACCAGAACTTAACTACGTGTCCCTAAACCTAACTTACAGACTTGGGTAAACAGAGCGGTCTTCGTGGCTCTTATAAACAACATTTGTGCGACACCTGAATCCAGAAGGCAGATACTGCTATACAGAAGGATGCTTCCGGAGTTGTGATAGGTGACATTGTTTAATCAAAGGAACCTAGAGCAGTAGTTCTCAACCTTTTTAATGCCGCAACCCCCAACCGGTCGTAAGTTGAGGACTACTCAACCGGTCGCAAGTCGAGGACTACTCAACTGGTGCAGCACCGTTTGCAGAATGGGACTTTTGGCGGGCTCAGCAGGGCTGAGACAGCCTGGACAATTCCTATTGGCTTTTGAAAGGCAATAGAATTAGACTCTATTCAAGAAAGTCTATTCTATTGGCTTTCAAAAGCCAATAGAATAAAAGGGAGTAGCACAGCTAAGGAAAAGGGGGGAAAAATGATGGACTGCATTGTTTGGCAACCCCCGTGAAATGGTCGTTCGACCCCAAATGGGGTCCCGACCCACAGGTTGAGAACCACTGACCTAGAGTGTGCCACGTCTGCAGGACTGAATTGACCAGGTAGATGCTATGAGAGGCAGGTAGTACCTCAAGTAACCAAGGTCATATAAGTCTTTATAGATAGCAACCAACCTCTTGAATTGCACTCAGAAGCAAGCCAGGAAGCAGTGCAGCTTGCAAAGCAGAAGTGTTACATGTGTACACTGAGGCATGCTCATTACTGTTTGTGCTGCTGCATTTTGGATCAATTGAAGCTTCTGGGTGACCTTGAAGGGCAGCTCCATGTATAGCACATTGCAATAGTCAAGCCATGAGGTAACTAGAGCAGGGCTTTTCAACCTTTTCACCCATTATACCACTTTTAGGATATGGCAATATACGAGTACCACCAAGTTGCCTAGCAAGGTGTCAAAAACTTGATGACCAAAAAAAAAAAAAAAGGAAAAAGTGATAAAGTACAGGTAGTCCTCAACTTACAACAGTTCGCTTAGTGACTGTCTGAAGTTACAATGGCACTGAAAAAAGTGCCCCCCAAGCCACAGCTGAGCAAGTCACCTGCCTGCCAGCCCAGCGGCGTTCTTCCTCCTATCCGATGTTTTCATTATTGTGAGCATTTCTGTTGAGGATTGGCAGTGGGGGGGGGAGTGGGGGGTGTTTGGTTTTTATTCCCCCTGTCTGCAGGGTGATTGCAGCAGGTTTTGGTCACTTCACATGACCCTGGGACACTGTGACCGTCATAAATATGAATCAGTTGCCAAGCATCTGAATGTAAATCACAAGACCCTGGAGATGCTGCAACATTCCAGCTGATCGACACTTCTTCTGGGCTCAGCAGAAGGCCCAGGATCAGTGCTGCTTTCCAGCTGATTGGCGCTTCTTCAGGGCTCAACAGAAGCACCAGGATCAGCGCCGAGCTCCAGCTGGAGCCTGGTGCTGATCCTGGTGCTTCCACTGAACCCTGACAGCCCCGAAAAAGCGCCGATCAACTGGAAAGCGGCACTGATCCTGGTGCTTCTGCTAAGCCCTGACAGCCCTGCAGCTCCAGCCGTCTCTCGCTCAGGCTTGTGCGGTGCTGCCACCCGTTCAGCTCATTCCCCTCCCCCGTTACCACTTTTCTAGGATGGTTGTGTACCACCTGCCAGGTGCCAATGTACCACAGGTGGTACCCATACCACTGGTTGAAAAGCCCTGAACTAGAGCATGAGTGACTATCTGAAAGGAGGGTGGACTAAGACGGAGTTGTGCAAAGGCTTTCCTGTCCACAACAAACATCTGCCCTTCAATTGAGAGCAGTCAGTCCAGGAAGACCCCCAGATTGTATACCAACCTTGAAGGGGGAAATGGTACCCCATCAAGGTCAAAGATTTCCATCCCCAGATCTAGATATCCACCGCCACTTGGTCTTGGTAGGATTGAATCAGAGACAGTTTCTCCCCATCCAAACCTACACAGCCTCCAGCACTAGGACAAAACCTAGACAACCTCACTTGGCTGGAGTTGAAAGATATAGCTGAGCATCATCGTCATCATTTTGAGTGATGGTGGATAATTCACCTAATGTAGTGGTTCTCAACCTGTGGGTCGGGACCCCATTTGGGGTCAAAAGACTATTTCATGGGGGTCGCCAAACAACACAGTCCGCCATTTTTTTCCCCTTTTCCTTAGCTGTGCTACTCCCTTTTATTCTATTGGCTTTTGAAAGCCAATAGAATAGACTCTCTTGAATAGAGTCTAATTCTATTGGCTTTCAAAAGCCAATAGGAATTGTCCAGGCTGTCTCTCCCTGCTGAGCCCACCAAAAGTCCCATTCTGCAAACGGCGCAGGGGGCGGCACCACGCATGCGCGGCGCTCCCGGGCAGGGAAAGTCCTCGACTTACGACTGGTTGGGTAGTCCTCGATTTACGATCGGTTGGGTAGTCATTGACTTATGACTGGTTGGGGGTCGCGGCATTAAAAAGGTTGAGAACCACTGACCTAATGGCTCATTGGCTACCATCAGAGGAATGAAAGCTCCCTGAGATCAACCTAAGCAAGTTGTGCTTCCTTTTTCTGGTTATTTGGCTATAACTTTTCATCGAATACAGTAGAGATAATTGAAAAAACTTTGTTGCATTACATTCTTGATTCAATTATCTTTCCATTGATATATAATTTTATGGTCCTACTCCCCAAAAAGTGGTGTTATTAGCCATCAAACCTCAAAAATACACTTTTCCCAAAAGGTTTACACAATTTTGGCCACAACTGTAACCATGGGGAAGGTGCAACAGTTATAAGTGTGAAAAACATCATAAGTCACTTTTTTCAGTGCCATTGTAACTTCAAATGGTCACTAAATGAATTGCAAGTTGAGCACTACCTATATATTACTTGATTGATTTAATAGACTTAGAAATTGCTAATATTATAATGGGATGTCAGTGAATAATTCCACATGAAAGAACAATAATATAATGCTTTTCTATTGTAAACGTTATTGTATATCAACTTTAAAAAACCCTACACTTCAAAGTATTTAATTGCTTTTTAAAATAAATGTGTAACTGTAATATGTTATGTAATATAATAAACAATTCTTTTTCTATTTTTAAATATTTATTTGCAGGTTGTTGAATTCTGACCACTTCCATCCACCACCGGTTCCTCCAAGAGGTCGTGATAAGTTAGACTAAATTTTGGGGATATTAAAACTAAAACATGAGGAAACAGAACTTTTATTCTTCAGAATGACTTTTGAATGGTTATGCTGTAACTCTAACCAGCATATCAGTTCACTCCGGTCAATCTCAGATGATCAATTCTGGTAGAATTTACTCTAAAAATTGTCAAGGGTGAACGAACAAATTAAGCATTTAGAACAAATAAACTGTTAGATTATGAAGAAATGATACATTGAACTTATTAGAATTCTTATTACACCAGACTAAAGGTGTCTCAATCATTTCTCACATATTCCTAAACTTCAGAATGGAGTAGCTACCAGCAGATATTTGTTGTCTGTTTATCTACAAATAAAGTAGCTATGATGCTGCCCAGAAAACAAATTTATTCTGTTGCAGATAGCGAAACTAGAGTGCCTTGTATTGAGCAGTGCAATTCATTTGAAATTTGTCTAATTTCTAATGTTTTTATGATAATTTCCTATTCAGAATTGTCTGATGCCTCTGGTTGCTGAGAAATTGAGGAAGATTTCTCTCTTCAGATCGTACGTTAAATCAAACAGTCTCCATTGTCACCTATATGAGTCTTGAATCTGTATTATTTCTATGAGAATGTGCCAAGAAGTACTTAGCAGATCATGAATGTAAAGAAACTCGGTTCTTATTTCCGTACTTCAATAAAAATTGTGCACCAATCACATCATTACTAGAAGAAACTTTTGTTCCTATTGTAGACAGACTCTGTCCAAAAAGGCAGTTGGCCCTGTTGGTATGTGAGAAAGTGTAATAACACAGCATGAGGTAGAGAGGACTGCATCTCCAGCCTAACAAGGCGGAACAGCTGCCAGGCCCTATTTGCATTGAGTTTCAAGATAAATTCAGGTAGTCCTTGGGATGGCAATTGGAACCAGAATTTCATTTCTAAGTGATATAGTTGTAATAAAAGTGACATCACTGGACAATGTTGCTTAGCAATGGAAATTCTGGCACTTCCAATTGCTGTCATGGGTTGTTAAGAACATCATGTACTTCTCATTTGTGACCTCCTACTGGCTTCCCAGTTGACCTTCTTTGTAGGAAGAAAGTTACAAATCACAATCACATGAACATGAGGCTGCTGTGACAGCTGGGAACTTTGAGGACCGTTCATAAATGCCCCTTGTTTGGCATTGTTGTAAGTTTGAGCGGCCACTGAACAAGTGGTTGCTAAACAAGGAACCCCTGTACGATATGCCGTATATTGTATATGATCTCAGTCTGAACACAAATGCACAGGGTTGAAATTCTAAAGACAGCTCCCTTTTCAGAATGTAGATTTTCTTTCTTTAAAAAGAAGGAAATACATTCGGAAGTCCATTAATGTAGCGTGCAAGGTGTGATCGAGTTATTTCCAATTTGGTACATTTGTTACAGAATTCAATAGAGAGGTCAAAGATATACTCTTTACTATAATACATATATCAGACTTGGCTATCTTAACTGAAGCCCTGATTATACTGTTACAGAGCAATTTCCAGGGACATCTAACAAGGACTGGCCTTTGCAGTTCCTCAACCTATTTGAAGACAAAGGAGATGGTTTCTAGGAAGGTTGTTTTGTGGAAAATGTGTTGAGGTCATACAGATTTTAGGGGATGTTGTTGTTAGTTGTGAAGTCGTGTCCGACCCATTGCAACCCCATGGGCAACATTCCTCCAAGCCTTCCTGTCCTCTACCATCTTCTGGAGTCCATTGAAGCTCACGGCTACTGCTTCAGTGACTCCATCCAGCCACCCCATTCTCTGTTGTCCCCTTCTTCTATTGCCCTCCATCTTTCCCAGCAGTGAGTAAGGAATAGGCAGCTATTAAAAAGTTCTGTTTCTAGGTTCATTCACATTTTTCTTTTCATGAAGAGGGAGAACTGCATGACTATCTTTTAAGGCACCTGGCAACCTCTTTACATTTATGATTGGTCGCCAAGCACCTCATAATTCATGTGATTGCTATTTACAAGCTTCTCCACAGGCTTCCACAGAAAGTCAATGGGAAGCCAACAGGGAAGGTTGTACGTTGCTGCTGCCTGCTGATAGGACTCATGTCTGGGGGCTGGCTGAAAGACCTGCCAGCTAAATGGCATTCAACCCTTCCCATGAGCTTTAGAAACAGGGCTTGGTTCCTGAAGACCTAAGCCTTGTTTCTGCAGCCTGGCAGAGGCATTCTCTTCCACACACAGAGGAGAGCTCAGCCTTTCTGCTAGGCTGCAGAGACAGGGCTTAGATGCCAAAGATCTGAGTCCCGTTTCTGCAGCTCAGTGGAGGGGCTGAGCTTCACTTGGCAGATTTCTAGCCTTCAGAAGAACGATGTTCACTTGCTTTCTACCCTTCCGAGGCTAGGAAAACTAGTGAATGCAATTGTTCTTGCAATAATTTGGAAAGCCCCTTCTCCAAATTGTCTGATTGAGCCTTCCAATTGCAAGAGTGTTGCCCACTGCCAGATGGCACAAGATGGCCTTGGTAGGAAGGCCAATCACAGGTCAGCTGAGCACACTTGCAGCTATAGAAAAAGGCAAGGGTAATGGACCTGGGCCTGGTGGGGGTGGGAAGTGATGTGCCTCTTGGATGTGCTGGGCCACAGAGAGCACCTCTCCTGATGCTCTCTGCACAATCGCTTGGCAACTGTAACTGGGAGAGCCAGAATTGTGATAATTGAATTAAGTGGTAATACGGCTAGCTTGCTTAATGGCCACTTTGCTCAATGACTGAAGTTCTAGTTCCCATTGTGGTTGTAAGTCAAGGACTACCTGTAGACCGCATTGTAGTAATCTAACATAGAAATAACAAGGGTAGGTCTGTTGTTGAAGCCTCGATTCTAAGAGCCAGAACTGGCTGGGGATACTGCAAGATCAGGAGGACACACAAAGCATGAATACCTGTTGTTTATTTCAAATGCTTTTTAGAAAGAGAGATGATTTAATTAATACTTTTGTTAATTTATATTTTTCTGTTGTATTTTTGTAAGGACATGTGCCCTCATTTTGCTTGTTAGATAATGTATCAGCTGTAGTTCTTGTAAGAAATGAACATGAATGTACTTAATTGCCACATTTGTTATTTCACTATGTATATAAATTCATTACCCACCGATTCTTTTCAAATATTGTCTGTGCATAAATCTGTCAATGGGTATTTTAATCCACTGCTGCTTGTTATGTGGTTGTGCCACGGCTACATCATTCTGTTCAAATGAGGACAAAAGCCTTATCCAGGAGTTCTGAACTGTTCAGCATTTACCAGTGTACTATGGTTTAATTCTGTGCCTTGCAGACAAATGACATGCTTCTCAAATTTGTATGTCAAGAAGTTGAAATATCTAGTTTATTTTTTATTTTTACCACCGTATATAAAAACTGCTTCTAAAAAGTTTTTTTTAGCATGTCCCTGAGGATAACCTGTGTGTTACAAAACAATACAAAGCATTTTGCAACCATCTTTTAAAAAATTATTTTAGACTCAGTTTCAGCCAGTGTATTCACTCTGCAAAAACAATTCAGTAAAGTTTATTAAGTCAATGGAGACACCTGAAAAAACTTCCTTTGTGTTGTATTTTCAGAACCCTGCTGGTAAGGTAAAGTGACTGTTTTACAAGAAACATTTTCATGTTCTCTGAAAAAATCAGGAGCATCACGATTACAAAAACAAAATAAGAGAATTTTCCTATGTATACTGCCTTGAGCCCTTGCGAGAAATCTAAATAAATAGTTCCAGGATGATTAGTTTACTGTTTGTTCAAATCATATACATGTGCAAAAGCTCCTTGTTTAAAAATACAAATTTCAAGATAGTGGGAAAATATGGAGGTTTTAAATAAGTATGTCATCTTTTAATATGACTTCTATATTTTTAATGAGTACAGCAATACTTTAAATTATGTTAAGGTACTCTTTTAACACAGGAGACGACAATGTATTATACAGTATTTTCATGAGTATATCATTCTATATGGATTGTCTAAAATCTATTGGTATACTATGAAACTATCCATTTCATTTCTAAATTAGTAATTCTATATTTCTCAGAGGCTGCAAAGTGTTTTCTAATACTTTAGTCTTATTGCTTTTACCTGAAATTAATGAAGCCATTGGTTTTTCCTTACTCAGTTTTGTAGGATGTTTGCTATAGCCAGCAATTTTACAAACAGCAACTAAGGGTGTTTTTTGTGTGTGTGTTTTTAAGTCAGTTTTTGACTGTTGGCTATTACCTGGACTAGACCCTGCAACTGTGCTAAGAAAAGTTATAAATGGGGCAAAATTCACAACTATCTTGGTTAGCAATTTAATATGTTAATGGCTGACCAGATTGAAATTAATTTGTGGTATATGAAACATAATATGTTTTGTAATGCAAATAAACCTGGTAGGTGGTTGGCTTACCAATTACGAAAGAAACAGAAGTCAAGGATTATAGAGAAAATAGATTATAAAGGTAAAGAGGTATATCAACAGAATTTGATTAAAAAGAGCTTTTTAGATTTTTATTCAAAGTTATATGCTAGTGAAAGTATACAAGTTTCAGATATAGAAAAATACTTACAGGCAGCACATTTTCCTAGACTTTCTAATGATCAACGAGATGAGATGAATTGTTTAATTACTTCTGATGAAATCATTTGGGCAATTAAACAATTAAAGGTTGGTAAGGCTCCTGGTACAGATGGATTAACAGCAATTTATTACAAAATGTTATCTGAAGAAATGATAGAACCATTGAAGGAACTTTTTAATAGTATTTTGTTGGGAGCAGAGGTATCTCCATCTTGGAGAAGGGCTTTCATATCGTTGATCCCAAAGGAGGATCAAGATCTGACCCAGCCTAAGAATTATAGACCTATATCTCTTTTGAATATAGATTACAAGATTTTCTCAAAAATACTGGCAAATAGATTAATGCAAGTTTTGAAGCATTTGATCCATAGTGATCAATCTGGATTTATAACTGGAAGATATATGAAATATAATGTAAGACAAATTGTTAACCTAATTGAGTATTTGGATAAGAATAATCAAATCCCTGCGGCTTTGATATTTTTGGATGCTGAAAAAGCTTTTGATCAGTTAAATTGGCAATTTTTATTGAGAGTTGTAGAGAAAATGAATTTTGGGGAAAAAAATTTGTATGCTCTCAAGGCTATATACCAATAGCAATCGGTACAAATTATAATTAATGGAGGATTAACAGAAGCATTTAAAATTGAAAAGGGTACTAGACAAAGATGTCCACTATCCCCATTGTTATTTGTTTTAACAATGGGGATTTTATTAATTAAAATTGATGAATCAACTACAATAAAGGGAATAAAAATAAAACAGAATGATTATAGGTTGAGAGCTTTTGCTGATGATTTGGTTGTGACATTATCTCAACCGACAGATTCGGTAAGGGATTTGGTGGAAATCATAACCCAGTATGGGAAAGTTTCTGGTTTTAAGGTAAATAACAATAAGACTAAAATACTTTCGAAAAATATGTCTATGAAGGAAAAGGATATGTTAGCTAAATTAACAGGTTTTGAAATAATGAAAAAGGTTAAATATTTGGGAGTTTACATTACAGCTTCTAATGTTAAGTTGTACAAAAATAATTATGAGACATTATGGGTAAAAGTGCAAAAGGATTTAAATGATTGGAAAAAACTTCAGTTATCTTTGCTGGGGAGAATCTCAGCGGTTAAAATGAATGTTCTTCCAAAGTTTCTTTTTTTGTTCCAAATGATACCTATTTTGAAAAAAGATGCCAACTTGGAGGAATGGCAGAAGGGTATTAATAAGTTTATTTGGGCAGGGAAAAAACCAAGAGTTAAGTTTAAGATTATACAAGATGCACGGGAAAGAGGAGGACTTAAGGCGCCTAATTTAAAATTGTATTATGATGCGATGGCTTTAACTCTCTGATTAGTGATTGGCTTAACTTAACAAATAAAAATATACTTCTTCTTCAGGGATGGGATTTATTATACAGATCGCATGCATATTTAATTTATAATAAAAAAGTAGATCAGGTTTTTAAATCTCATATTTTAAGAAACGCTTTATTATGAGTCTGGAAGAATTATTATAGGTTAAATTATAAAATTCCAATTTGGGGGATTCCTGGACACGTGATAGAGGGGGTATCTAGGCGAGTGAATTTGGAAAGGATTTCCTATAAGGAATTACTTTAGTTTGGTAGGGAAGGATTGGCAATTAAAATCTTTAGCTGAGTTGAAGCAAGAAAATATTGTACACTCTTGGTTTCAGTATAATCAATTGTTAGTTAGGTGGAGTTTAGATCAAAAGGTTGGTATTACTTTAGAGGATGTGAATTTGATAAAACAGATTAAAGATCAAACTCGAGCCCATATAAAGAGAATTTATAATGTTTTAATAGAATTGGATTCTGAAACGGAGTTAGTTAAAGATTGTATGGTAAAATGGGCTCAAAATATTCAAGAGCCAATTCTATTGGATACATGGGAGACAATTTGGGTTAGAAATGTAAAATTTACTCAAGCTCAAAATTTAAGAGAAAACTTTTATAAAATGTTTTATAGGTGGCATTTGGATCCTCAAAAGTTGTCTTGTATGTATCCTAATTTACAGCCCAAATGCTGGAGATGTGGAAGCTTAGATGCAACTTATTTTCATATTTGGTGGACTTGTAGAAATATAAAAGCTTTTTGGATTAAGATTTGGTGGAACATTGAAAAGATTTTTAAGAGAAAGATAAAGTTTACGCCACAATTATTTTTATTAGGTGTTATTGTAGACTTTGATGTTAAAGAAATTAATTTGATGTTGAATCTTATAACAGCTGCACGATTACTGGTGGGGCAATATTGGAAGAAAGATTCAGTGCCTACTATGGAAGAATGGATACTCAAGGTGTCTAATTTAGCAGAAATGTCAAAAATTTCCGCTTATTTGAAGGATTATTCACAAGAAAGATATATTTTGGCTTGGAGAAGATGGATAGATTATATCCAGAATAAATATGAGACTAAAAAGTATTATTTAGCTTATGAGTAAATTTTAGATTATTTTTAATAGTTTAATATGATTGAATTTATATTATTTTTAGTATTATTGTTTAATTATATTATTCTTTTTGGTTTTTAATTTGTTAATATTTATTTTGAAAAGGAGTTAAAGTATGTTATGGATTTGATTGTTAGTAGAGTTGGGTAATGTTAGTTAGATTATGATTGCTTATTTGTAACCCTGTAATCAGCTCTGGGAAGTGGGGGAGGGGGGAGGGATTTGGGTTATATACTGTAAAAAAATTTTAAAACTTTTAATAAAAAAAAAATTCCAGTGTTGGAGCATTCACCGCTTCTGGAGGCAGGTTGTTCCACTGGTTAATTGTTCTGTCAGGAAGTTTCTCTTCAGTTCTAGGTTGCTTCTCTCCTTGATTAGTTTCCATCCGTTGCTTCTTGTCTTGCCTTCAGGCGCCTTGGAAAATAGCTTGATTCCCTCTTCTTTGTGGCAGCCCCTGAGATATTGGAACATGGCTATCATGTCCCCCCTCGTCCTTCTCTTCATTAAACTAGACATACCCAATTCCAGCAGCCGTTTCTTATATGTTTTAGCCCCCAGTCCCCTAATCATCTTTGTTGCTCTTCTCTGTACTCTTTCTAGAGTCTCAACATCTTTTTTACATCGTGGTGACCAAAACTGGATGCAGTATTCCAAGTGTGGCCTTACCAAGGCATTGTAAAGTGGTATTAACACTTCACGTGATCTTGATTCTATCCCTCCTTTAATGCAGCCTAGCACTGTGTTGGCTTTTTTGGCAGCTGCAGCACACGGCTGGCTCCTATTTAAATGATTGTCCACTAGGACTCCGAGGTCCCTCTCACAATTACTACTATTGAGCAAGGTACCCCCTATACTGTACCTGTGGATTTGGTTTTTCTTGCCTAAATGTAGAACCTTACTTTTTTCACCACTGAATTTCATTTTGTTAGATAGCGCCCAGTGTTCAAGTCTGTCCAGATCCTCCTGTATCTTAAGCCTGTCTTCTGGAGTGTTGGCTATTCCTGCCAGCTTGGTGTCGTCTGCAAATCTGATGAGTTCCCCATCTATCCCCTTGTCCAGATTGTTGATCTTTCACAGAACAGTGTGTTCAAGTAGAATGATCTCTAAGCCCCTTTCTGACTTTCTGATTCTATGTCACAGGAGCTTTGTGACTGTTGGTGATACTTGAGCTTGTCCATGAATGATCCAGATTTAGCAGTCTGGTACTGCCCCCATATTTATTCATGCTACTTAGTTATACGTTTATACTTAAACAATATTGGCACTCTTTTAAGTTGTTTTTTTCTGAATTTGTTCACAATTTGCTTTCTAACTAATGCTTGTGGATTTCACACACAAACTAAATGCCAGTATTTCCTATCTATGGTATAATCTTCAATGAAAACAATGCTTCCTTTGTTTTAAAATGTACATGGGGATATGTATAAGGAATACTTGCGAGTTGTTACAGGTGTGTTTATATGTGCTGCAGTTTTGCGTGCAGTTGATGTCATGTTGGTGAGAGCCTGTATCATCTGCAGTGAATGTAAGATAGAATATATGATGCAATAAGGAAACTATAGGAAAGACCAACAGTTTGATAGAGAAAATGCAATGAATATAAATGGTAAAAAGTGAAGTAAATGAATGAATGGCTATATTTTGCTGCAATCTTTACTAAACCTCTTCTTCTTCTTCTTCTTCTTGTGCCACATCCGTTATCGGACGTTGGCGATCATGTTGGAGATCCTGTTTTTATCAGCAGCCGCACGAAAAAGTGCTGCTGAGTTTTGTCCAAACCAATCCCTTAGATTTCGAAGCCACGATGTTCTTCTTCTGCCTGGACCTCGTTTGCCTTTACTAAACCTAGGGAAAGAGAAACATTTTAAAATATGCAATTACCAATAAAATGATAAATCGTTGCAAGAAATGAATGGAGAAATGTGCTTTTGATCACATTATATACAAATGAGAAACTAAAGTATCAGAAGACACTTCAAAGTTGAATATAATAGAAATAGATCAGGGGTTGAATTGTATCTGAAGAGGGATGAGAAGGAAAAAAGAGGAGAGAGAAAAGAGTAAAGGAGGGCAGAAGGAAGTAGGAAGGTTGGAGGAGAAGAGAAGTGGGGAGGAGAGTGGTGAAGGAAAGAGGAGAAGAAGAAGAGGGAAGTAGGGAAGAGAAGAAAGGGAGAAAGAAGGTAGAGAAGGAGTGTGGATACATTGAAAGGGGAAATGGGCGAGCAACACCAAAAGTCGTGTATGTATTTATTTCATTTTATTAAAAGTATCTTATATATGAATGTAAAAAGAATGTATGTTAACATCTGATAAATATCAGATGCATGTTAAAGAATGTATGTTAACATCTGATAAATATCATGGTATATGTATGGGGGAGAGTTTGGAAAAATAAAAAAATTAAAAAAAAAGAAATAGATCAGGGGTCTTCAAACGTGGCCCTTTTATGACTTGTGGACTTCAACTCCCAGAATCCCTCAGCTTTTCCACTGCCTGGACAGCTTAAATTATATTTATTTGAGTTATATAGCCGCTCATCTTACTTTTATGTAACTCTAAGCAGCTTACAGTAAAGCAAGTAACACAAAATAAATGATAAAAAAACAAGAATAGCAGCAAGGCACAATCTAAACCAGGGGTCTTCAAACGTGGCCCTTTTATGACTTGTGGACTTCAACTCCCAGAATCCCTCAGCCTGAGGGATTCTGGGAGTTGAAGTCCACAAGTCATAAAAGGGCCACGTTTGAAGACCCCTGTATTGACACAACTGCAAACAGCCGGGCTGGGCCATCTCTTTCGGCTGTGCTCTATATCCCTTCTGCAGCTGCTGGAGGCCATCCAGGAACCGAGGCCTTGCGTAGTAGGGAAAGAAAGGAGCGCCCGGGTCCGCCCCAAGGAAGGTGGAAGAAGTTACACGACGCCCTTTTAGGAAACGGAAAGCTTGGCTGGTTGCCTCGGCTTCCCAAAAACTCAGCCGTCCGGGCAACAGCACACAAGAGGCGCGCGGCCCGGACGACGGTCCCTACCCCCCCCCCCACCAGCCTCTGCCTTCGAGTTCTGCGGCTTCTGGCTGCTGCCGGTCGCCGTAAGCGGCGTCTGTTCCGGCGTGGCTCTTGGATGACGTGGCGGGCACGGCGGAAGCGGCGGCTCCTTTCCTCGGTGACGGCGGCGGCGACGACCACGGGATGGCGCCGGCCGGGTTCCTGTGGTGCGTGGCGGCCTTGTTGGTTTCGCAGGGCCGGGCCGACGAGCATGACCACACGGTGAGGGGGGGGGGTGTAGCCCGCCCGAGGCCACGGGGAGAGACGGGCCTGCTTTTTCTCCTCCTCCTCCTCCTCCTCCTTCCCTCGTCCTTCGGCCACGGCTCCCCTGCCCGGGCGGGCGGGCGGGCGCGGGTGCGTCTTCGCGCGGCGTTGCAGAGGCCGGAGCCGGTCACGGATCGCCTCGATCGGTCCGCGCGGAGCGGGAACCCGGCGTGCGCGAGAGTCAAAAGTTGGCCCGCAGGTCACTGAGAGCCGACATTTCAGTGAGAAAGTGGTCCCTTCCCGCTGGAGTGGTGGTGGAGAAGGGATTGCCAGCGGCCTGGCCGAGCATAGCTCTCCATTAGATAAGATAGGATAGGATTAGGATAGGATAGGATAAGATAGGGTAAATATAATAATAATAATAATAATAACAACAACAACAACAACAACAACAAATAAAGTTGGAAGGGACAACAACAACAACAACAACAAATAAAGTTGGAAGGGACCTTGGAGGTCATCAAGTCCAACCCCCTGCTCAGGCAGGAAACCCTATACCAGTGTTTCTCAACGTTGACAATTTTAAGGCATGTGGACTTCAACTCCCAGAATTCCACAGCCAGCAATGCTGGCTGTGAAATTCTGGGAGTTGAAGTCCACATGCCTTAAAATTGTCAACGTTGAGAAACACTGCCCTATACCATTTCGGACAAATGGCTGTCCGGTCTCTTCTTAAAAACTTCCAGCGTTGGAGCATTCACCGCTTCTGGAGGCAGGTTGTTCCACTGGTTAATTGTTCTAACTGTCAGGAAGTTTCTCCTTAGTTCTAAGCTGCTTCTCTCTTTGGTTAGTTGCTTCTTGTCCTTCTCTCAGGCGCTTTGGAGAATAGCTTGACTACCCCTTCTTTATGGCAGCCCCTGAGATATTGGAACACTGCTATCATGTCCCCCCTCCTCCTTCTCTTTGTTAAACTAGACATACCCAATTCCAGCAACCAATAAGATAACCTTTAATGTTCTTTTTTTTTTTTTTACTATGGGCACAACGGCACACATCAGAAATGAAATTGAGTCGCCCGCTCTCCAAGTGAAACACATACATGATACACACCTAAACATACTATGTTTAGGTGTGTGTGTACATAAAGGGCATGTTTTCGTTCCGGAGAACGAAGTTCCAATAAGACTGTCAAGAAGGGCAGCCTTTGTTCAAACAACGCTGTGGTTTTTCATAGTTTCTTATTTGTTGATGGTGACACCGGATAGTTAGAAAACAGAACCGCACCTGTTCATTATAATCACTCTCCTTTAAAAAAAGTAAATGGGGAGTATTAGCATTGTTATAATCAAGACAGCAGGTTGACTGAAAAATTAATATATGTATGTAAGAGAAAATTAATAAATTCTTTATAAAAAAATAAGAGTAAATTGGAAGTAATATTTCCCAAAGCAGGCAGAAACCTTATAAAGCACACTGACACTACAATTCCGAATAAATTCAAATAGTTAACTCGTGGCTCAAGATGTTTTAACTACCCAAAAAAAGGTTATTTCTTTTGTCTCCACCACGTTAAAGCTGATAATTAAACAGTGGGCCCTGGATGTGTTTGTATAGCTTTGAACAGTTGACTGTTTATGTTTAACCAAGATGCAATTTGCTTGTGCATTTTGGGAACCCTGGATGTGTTTGTATAGCTTTGAATACTTGACTGGTTATGCTTAACCAAGATGCAGTTTGCCTGTGCATTTTGGGAACCCTGGATTGTTTGTATAGCTTTGAACACTTGACTGGTTATGCTTAACCAAGATGCAGTTTGATTGTGCATTTTGGGAACCCAACCGTCACTTCTTGTTCAGTTGATCAGGATAATTTGTTAAGAAATAATATGAGTGATTAGCTTTGTTTGTGCAGATGCCAACCTGTATAGTCAGATTGCTGTAACTGTATCATATGGGCTATAGTTGTAATATAGCTGCTTGATAAGATCTAAAAATAGCAAAGGGTCACCCCCCAAAAAAATGGGAAATAAAGATGGAAGCTTGAAAAAAATAGCAAAGCGTACCTCTTGTTTAAAATCTCAAGAAATTGTAATATTTAAATCGGGACTTCTCTGTTTGCCTCTTATTTTTCTAAAGCCTTCCCTTCAAGCTAAATCAGATAAATTAAGGTAGAAGCCACTTAAAAGAAAATACAAGTAATGTAGAATATGAAATCCAAGCACTTTAAAATCAAATAATAAACCAAACATAATTATAAAAATAGCTTTTAAAAGTGGCACCTGCAAACTTTGTTGAAAGCAGTAGGAACTTTTTTTTTCTTTCAATTTTTATTATTTTATTTTCATTACAATCATAAGAAAAAAATTCAGATACATAAGAAGTTAAAATACAACACACAAATTCCGACATTGCTCACCCATTTCCCCCCAGACCGCATCCCCCTCTCATCTCTTCACTTCCCCCTTCCTTCTATCTCCTCCTATCCTCTCTCTCTCCTCCATCTTTCTATTTACTTGTCCCTCTCCTCTTCTTCTCAATCGGATGCAGTCTACGGGAAAATGCGATCAGGTTTAGTGTCACTTTAGAAAACTGTCCTTAAATTATTGGTGGGTCCAGGCATAACACTAAGCCATAAACCAGTGGTAAGGCTCTACTTTTTTAAAAGGTGGGAAGTTGTGTTGGACAATGGATATTGGCAGTGTAAGATACAAATGGGTGAAATTTTAAAGCATTATTTAATTTTCAGAAATTTTTGAAATCGAGTTGCTGCTTTAGACATATTAAACCTTATCTGAAAACTTACCCCTCCAGTTTTCTGCCGGCAAACTATGAAAATGTGCATCAGTGATTTTAAGGATTTCCCATAAATTGTTAGTGGTGCAATCCAAGTATGCTCCAGAAGGCAGCAGGAAAAAAGGGCATTCAAGGAATTGCATTTATTTATTTATTTATTTATCTATTTATCTATCTATCTATCTATCTATCTATCTATTTATTTATGAGACTTATATACCGCTTTAAGTGCAAGCAATCTCTAAGCGGTGTACACCAGTAAGCAATGTATATATATATTTACATTGCCCCCAACAATCTGGGTCCTCATTTTACCTACCCCGGAAGGATGGAAGGCTGAGTCAACCTTGAGCCGGTGAGATTTGAACCGCTGACCTGCTGAACACAGTCAGCTAAAATGGCCTGCAGTACTGCACTCTAACTGCTGCGCCACCTCGGCTCTGCGTTGCCCACTTCTGCCAACGATGTTTTACATAGTGGCTAGATTTGCATTATGACTTAGTTATACACCTGCCCTTGTAATGTCACTCAAAAGTCATCAGTGCTAAAACTTAAGACAGTGAGTACATAGTATAACCTCTTTCTGGCTATTCCCTTGAAAGTTACTGGTTGCAATATTTCTGCACTACACACCAAGTATTAATAAAAGGCACTGCTGCTTTGAGAAACTGCCATTAGGCATACAATGGCAGAAAAGGAAGGAATGAAAACCAGGATATTGGGAAAATAATGTGTAGAACATGCTTGGACTTTGGACTTTCAATTGCACTTACAAGATGTCCTTGAAAAGAGATTCAGGTAATTGGAGAAGGAAGGAGAGATGTGATAAAGAGTGACCTAGGTAAATGTGACAAGCATGTATACACAATAGGGCAGAAAATAGATGGTATTTAGTTTCTAAAGGTAAAAAGGCAATAGAAATCCAGTTGAGAAATTGGCAATATCAAGATACGAATTAAAAATTGTAATAGAAGTGGGAAAAACTGTGAATTAGAGGAATTAGAGCAGTGGTTCTCAACCTTTTTAATGCTGTGACCCCCCAACCGGTCGTAAGTCAAGGACTACTCAACCGGTCGTAAGTCGAGGACTACTCAACTGGTGCAGCACCGTTTGCAGAATGGGACTTTTGGCGGGCTCAGCAGGGCAGAGACAGCCTGGACAATTCCTATTGGCTTTTGAAATCCAATAGAATTAGACTCTATTCAAGAGAGTCTATTCTACTGGCTTTCAAAAGCCAATAGAATAAAAGGGAGTAGCACAGCTAAGGAAAAGGGGAAAAAATGGCGGACTGCATTGTTTGGCGACCCCCGTGAAATGGTCGTTCGACCCCAAATGGGGTCCCGACCCACAGGTTGAGAACCACTGAATTAGAGGGTTGCTGAAAGGAGAAAGAACATCACCCTCCAATATTGTACAGGGAAAGGCAACATGCCTGACAGCAAATTTGCACATGTGAAGCAAAGGAGAATGCAAGAAATTCAGGACTATTGTACCAAGATGGCTGATGATATGGATGATAGGATAGAGGGCAGTCTTAGAATGCTTAGAGACTGAAAATGTCAGAAACAAAGCATCCAGCTGTTGAGATGGAGAAATGTCAAGCAAGTAACAGAGTTACATATAAGTAGTATATAAAAAGTAAGGGATTGAATGCAAGAGCATTGTGCCAGCAGGAAGAACAGGACAAAGCTGTTACACGAATGATCAAAATATTGGAAAGATGAGAAAAATATTGAGAATAAAGTTTGAGAATAGAAGTAACTACCCATGAAAACTTGTGCAGAGATAATGCTGCTAGATTTGATTGTGAATTCTTCTGCATGAAAATGTGTACAGGCAGTCCTCAACTTACTACCATTTGTTCTGCAACTGTTCAAAATTACAATGGTATTGAGAAAAGTGACTTTCAGCTGGTCCTCACACAACTGGCATAGCATCTCCATGGTCACGTGATCAAAATTACAGGTGCTTGGCCACCAGCATCTCTTTATGATGGTTGCAGTGTCCCTGAGTCATAGTATCTCTGCTACTATGTACTACGTATGTACATGTATATTCTAGGCACCAGACCTTTGTTGGGCCTTAAAATGGCTCTGACGATCCAACATGTAAAATTGAAAGTTTTTGTAATGATTGATGTCTCACACTAACTTTATTGAAATGCTATGAAGTTTGAGCCGTTTAAAAAAAATTAGGCACAGGTATATGTTTGATGCATAGTATTAAAAGTCCAGTTATGTCTTTTCTATTTCTAGAAATCCAAAACACATCAAAAGATTGGAATTCTGGATTCAATGTCCATGTTTTCTGCTCTGTAAAGCATATTGCTTTTTTTTCAGTAACATACAATGAAATTGCTATCCTGTACTATACTTAATAGTTTCATATCTAAACAAGACAGCAAATTAATGTTCTAAAATGGTCTGTTTGGGTAGCCCAAAGCAATAATTATAAGCTGTTAGTATTCTGTGTCTTTGGGGATTATATCTTGGCTATATGAATAGTTTTCCAGACCACTCTAAAATGACCATTATTTTCTTTTTAATAATATTAAATCATTTGGCTAGACCCCGGGAGACTAGGAGTTCTAGTCCCACATTAGTCGCAAAGCCAGATGGGTAGCCCTGGGCTAGTCATTTTCTCAGCCCTAGGAAGGTGGCATTGGCAAACCACTTCTGAAAAATCTCGCCAAGAAAACTGCTGGGATCGGTCCAGGCGGTCCCTAGAAGTCAAAAACTATCTTGAAATGATTGAATGAATGAAGGGCTTACAACATAGATTTTGAGTATTTTCCATCTCAGAAATTATTAGCAGTTTTCAGCAAAAGTTGTTCAAGTGACTTTAATACTTACCAAAAAAAAAAAAAAGCTTCAGAAGGCTGCATGTAGCCCTGCCCTTTACACTGAATATTATGTATGACTGCAAGCTATATGTTATTGTTAAAATAGTAGCATTGGAAATAGTTCTACATTTCTGTTTTTCTTTTTGACGATTTTTCAAAAAGTGAAAAGATTTGGGTTTTTTTTTTTTCAACTTGCCATATTTGAATTTTGAGAATTGCTGTTCCAGGACATCAGGTTATTTCTGCGTCCACCATTAACTGGTAACAATTTGACTGGAGACAGTAGACCTATCATGCTAACCCCCTGTGGGATCTTCTTAGTTTTAGCTTAATAGTGTTTTTATGTGAATCTAGACATTGTGCTTTATAAATAAAAAAGTAAAGTAAGCTCAGTTCTTTATCATTCATGTCCACAAAATTTTCTCTGAAACAATAGAAAAACCGGCATTATCATCTTCTGAGCTATTTATTCAGCGTTCCTGTCTTAATGTATAGCACTGGGATTTCCTGGTGATTTTCCATTTTGTGACTGTGGCACTTACCAACTCAGTTGGCGGTCCGAATTGTGGTTGCTAAATTATGACTACCTGTAGCACTTTTGCTTTCCCGGCCAAAATGCAGATGGTAATCAAAATTATAATGGTATAATTTCTGGGGATGGCATGCAAAGCCAGGCGTTGCCTGTCAATATTTTAAAGCATTTTCCTCGTATTTCGCTCCGAAAATTTGTTTCATTCTAAACAGTGTGCCTATTGATAATTCTTTATTTTAAAATATGCTTTCTTTTCAGTACCAAGATAAAGAAGAAGTTGTTTTATGGATGAATACCGTAGGGCCATATCACAATCGCCAGGAAACATACAAATACTTCTCCCTCCCTTTTTGTGGCGGATCTAAAAAAAGCATTGATCACTACCATGAAACTCTTGGGGAAGCACTTCAAGGAGTTGAACTGGAGTTCAGCGGTTTGGATATTAAATTTAAAGGTAAAATAACCATAAAGTCATGATTGCTGGTGTTTTAAAAACTACTGTATTTGTTTAACAGGAAAACCTTTAAATGTATTAGTTTTAAAAGATATTTGAAGAGTGAAAACAGAAAAAAATAAAAAAGACAAAAAAGGGAAAATATATTAAAGATTTCAAAACATGAAATATATAACAGGTAATAAAATGAATGAGAGAGCCTGTTGGTGTAACGGTTAAGACGCTGGCCAGAAACTGGGAAACTATGAGTTCTAGTTCCACTTGAAGCCAGCTTGATGACTTTGGGCGAGTCCCTTTCTCTCAGCCCTAGCAAGGAGACAGTGGCAAGTCATTTCTGAAAAACCTTGCCAAGAAAACTGCAGGGACTTGTCAGGGCAGTCTCCAAGAATTGGACATACTTGAATGGAAGAATTTTTTTTTGTGAGCTTCTAGTACAGTGATTGTGAACCTTTTAGAGATTGAGTGCCTAAAATGCAACCCAAAACCCACTTATGTATCGTCGGGTGCCGGGTGGGCATGGCCCATTGGGTGGATGTGACCTATTGGGTGGGTGTGGCCCATTGGGTGGGCGTGGCTTCAGTGGTAACGGCAGACTGGGTGAGACTAAAAAGTTCAATCAATTCCAACTTTGTGAGATCTTTTTTATTCCTGCAAGGAGTTGAAATTGACTGAGTGATTGAACTTTTTTTTTTTGCACACAGTAGCGGAGGCCTAAAGCAAAAAGGTTTTATAAAACCCAGCTGAAGCCCTAGGACTGGGGTGACAGTGTGTGTGCCCACAGAGAGGGCTCTGCGTGCCACCTGTGGCATGCGTGCCATAGGTTTGCCACCACGGTTCTAGTAGATATAGAAGAATGATTTAAGCTCATTAGCAATAGCAATAGCACTTCAACTTATATATTGCTTCATCATGCTTTACAGCCCTCTATAAGCTGTTTATGGAATCAGCATATTGCCCCAAATAATCTTGGGTTCTCATTTTACTGATCTTGGAAGGCTGAATCAACCTTAAGCTGGTCAAGATTGAACTGTTGGCAGTCGGCAGAGTTAGCTTGCAATAATACTGCATTCTAACCACTCTGCCACCACGGGTCTTTATTACATTTCCTGCAGTTTTTAAATATGTATCATCCATTGCTGGATAATATGCTACTGAAAGAACACCAATTTCCTCTAGGTGTAATAATCACAGTAAACCTAAAATATATCTTCCATTGATATTCCCATTGTTGCATATCAATTGTCCTGTTTAAATTCTGCATCCTTTGAATCATATAGTCTTTAATTGTTTAATTTCTGAATCATATCTCAGTAACATATATAAATTGAAACAGAAGTTCTGACCTTCATGGTATCAGCATTTCAAATTCTATAAAATCTATTAAGTAAGCCCACTTGTTTTTGTAGTTCAAAAGGAACTGTATTACTTATTTGGATATTGAAACCAATGAGGTATTTCTGGTTATTCTGAGGTTAAATCTTGCAGCGTATTATTTTTTCACTAATAATTTTTAGCGATTTGCCAGTTTAATTCCTGAAATTTTATTCTGTTGTTTTATCTTTCTTATTACTGGTTCAGATCAGTAAAAACAGAAAAGAAGGAGGACCATTTTATCTTATCCTTTTCATAATATCATGTGTATGAGGCCTATATGTATTTATAGTTGACTTGGTTTATAAATTCTTGGAGTCCATGAGAAATAATTTGGATTGCAGTTCATCTTTTTCAAGATTATGAATATGAAAGCTCTTCCAAATTGCTGAAAGCTTTTTTATATCAAGAAAAAATGTTGCCACTTTCTTATTTTTCTAGTTAACATTATCGGTGATACTAACATCGATATCTGATATTATTTCTCATGTTTCTTCAATGATGTCTGGTGATTAGAATGAAATTATGCCATCTGAAAGATTATTTAAACCTTATTGTAAAAACAGCTGTGTATTTTATCCAAGTACTCTATAATCGTCTTCAAAATTTGTGTCTGTTTTCCATATAGCTGTGAACAGGGTTTTAACAAACAGATTGATCATCTCATCAGAAATTGAAACATACCCCGTTTCTGTCCTAAATGATTTTAACTTAAATGGGGAGGATTGTTTTAGATTTGGTCAAACTATGCTAGTAGGGGATAATGGTTTTCTTCTGTCTACTATTTATATAAATATACATTCCTACAGTTGGAAGGGATTTTTAGAAGTTAAATTGTCCAATTCCTAGCGCAGAAACTGTTAAAGCATTCTAATACGTGGATATTCAGCATTTGTCTGAGGATCTTGAATGACGATGAACATGCCACATCTTGAGACAGTATATTCCATATAGGTAGATATCTTTCTGATACCTAACCTGAATTTACTTTACCTGTAATTTCTGGCTACTGCTTCTGTTCCTGTTTTTTAGGGTGACAGAAAGTAAGTCCACTCCACCTTCTGTATGGCATCATAAAATTGTTCTCTTACTTGTCCTCAGGATTTCTCTTACAGAAGAATCTTAGTTTGTTTAACCATTCTTTATACGATCTAATTTCCAGTCACCCTCACCATCTAGTTAGCCCATCTCTAAACTGTCTCCAGTATGTTGATGTCATGTTTTTAGATTGCATGTTTCACATATGTACCGTATCAGATAACATCAGATACTTGGTTGAGGCCGAAGGCAGAGTAGAAAATGCAGCTCCTGGGATGTTGACTCTTCTGTTGATACATGATTAAGTAGCATTTTTAGCAGCATTACTGTTAGCTGATATTCACCATGGTTTGTTAGAATGTTCAGATCCTTTTCACATGTACCAGCCTTTTCTCATGCTTTTCCTTTTTTCTTTCCACATACGGAATTGTACCTTTTTTCCCTGCTAAAATTCATTCTGTTGATTTCAACCTATTACTCCTTTTGACTTAAATAATATAAAGGTTCATCGATCAATCTTTATTTAGTCATAGGCTAGCAGGCATAAGAGTCATCTTCTTTTTTTTATGCAAGCATATTGATATTCCAGTCTGAAGATAGCCTCTTTTGGAATTAGATCTTTTGACTTCAAGAATCTGAATAGCAATGCATGATTTATTGTTATTATTTATTTGTTAAATTTATTTGCTACATATCTCACCATGGGATGACCAGAAGCAGCTCTCAACAATAAAAAGGGAAAAAATGAAAAGAGTGTAAACCAGTGGTTCTCAACCTTTTTAATGCCGCGACCCTCAACCGATCGTAAGTTGAGGACTACTCAACCGGTCGTAAGTCGAGGACTACTCAACTGGTGCAGCACCGTTTGCAGAATGGGACTTTTAGCGGGCTCAGCAGGGCAGAGACAGCCTGGACAATTCCTATTGGCTTTTGAAAGCCAATAGAATTAGACTCTATTCAAGAGAGTCTATTCTATTGGCTTTCAAAAGCCAATAGAATAAAAGGGAGTAGCACAGCTAAGGAACAGGGGGAAAAAATGGCAGACTGCGTTGTTTGGCGACCCCCGTGAAATGGTCGTTCGACCCCAAATGGGGTTCTGACCCACAGGTTGAGAACCACTGGTGTAAACAGAACAAAAGTAAAATAATAGAACCATAAAATAAACAGTGAAAAAGAAGACAACGAGAATACATCAATACGATAACCAAAAAGATAGATAGATGGGTGGAGAGCAGAGAGCAAGTGGGGGGGGGTGGAGTCTGCTAGCAATCCAGCAGCCACCTCTACTGCGAGTCTGTGCATGATTATGATAATAATAATGGCTTCAGGAATGGGCTATATTCAGTTACGCGAGAATTCTTCCTCATTTTATCTTTATAATAGCAAAAATATGTTAATCTTTAGCTTGGTCATTTCTGATTAAAACTTGGCATTAAAATTTAAAGCCAAGATTCAAATGTATTTATTTAGTGCAAAATGTCAATAAGTTTGTTTGGAAACTTTGGGAGAAGGGAGAATGTCATTTGAAAAAAGGAATAATATCTTCCTATGGAAGATTCTCTGTTCATCAGAGGAATGAAGAGTTTTTAATGTTTTCTTTAATAAATTTGTAATCTAAAGTGTACTTGCAGCATCACATTAAGCCGGTTGATTTAATTATGGTTTATTGAGTAAATTGCAAGTAGTTACACTTGTTTTATATGCCCAACCAACCAAACCGTATTTTAGCTCATCATACTGTGATCACATGGAAAACCTGTGCATTGGCATTTTGTCACTATTTTAACTCTGCTCTTCAATAATAGCTTTTTTAATTATTGAAAAGTTGGTAAATTATTTGATTCCCCCCCTAAGAACCTAGTATATGATTTTATATCCAGTGCTTCCTGGGATAGCAAGAATCTTACAACAGTGCCATTATCACTTCTCAGTAGATTTGCATACTGCAATATGTTTAAATGGGGCTGCCTTTCATGGCCACTTGACAATGGTAATTGGTGCCAAATGGATTGGTCCAGTTATTAATTGCTGTATCCCGAAGAGTGCATAATATATGTGCTGTGGATCTTACATTGGTTACCACATGGAGCAATTCAAAGAACCATTTTTGATTTGTATAGTCCAGGGGTCTGCAACCTTAAACACTCAAAGAGCCACTTGAATCCGTTTCCCAGAGAAAAGAAAACACTGGGAGCTGCAAAACTTGTGCTCATGCACGCGAGGGGGGGAGCTTGATTGAAGAGTTTAATTAAAAAGAAATAGAGGCTGCTGTGCATGAGTTCTCTCTCTTTTTCTTTCCTCTCCCCCTCTCTCTTTCCTCTCCCTCCCTCCCTCCCTCTTTCTTTCTCTTTCCTCTCTCTCTTTCTCTCTCTCCCCCTCTCTCCCTTTGTCCGATCTTCTGCTCTGCTCACCTGGCAAGCTGGCTTCAAGCTGTTCTCCAACAAGCTGAAACACATTCTTATTGTGCTGGCTCTCTCCTGCTCTTCCTGCTTCCTGCAGAGACACAGCCAAGGCAGGAGCCCTGCCCAATAAGCTTGTCAGCTCTTTGGAGAATAGGGTGAGGCCACTCTCTTTTTTACACACACAGCACA